CCACAATTGTAAATGAACCAATACCTTGAAGGAAAAAAAAATACTGTGAATAACTAGGCATTATGAACTTATTATCAGCTATACTACAACACAAATATAGAACTGACACTTACTTACCTGGTAGCACCAAGTTTTTAAGTATTTCAGTTCCTGTGGCTGTTGCATTTATCACACAAACATGGGCAGATTCTAGAGCTTCTTGTCCATGATCACCCCACAATCTATATTGGGATATAAACAGAAGCACTCTGTGTTTCATTTTCCATAGTAAAGTGATCATAAAAAAAAAAAAGAACTGAACTATCACAAACGGAGGCTAGCACACTATTTTCCATTTGCCATTGAGAAGGACTAACTAGCATCAAGTAAAATAAACTTTCAGAAAACTTACTGTGACAGACCTCAAAGCGTCTAAAGAACAAATCTATTTTATTGCTTATTCATTTTCTCTGTCCTTACACTCTGCAGCAGACAAATGCGCACACCTTTTCCTATTGCAACATACTTTGCTTTTTAAAAAACAGAATTGGTCAAAACACTCCTTAAGTAAAGTTTGTCCTTGGGAAAAAAAATAAAAATAAAACTGAATGCTTTTTCCTAAGTTTCACTGTAAATGACGTACTTAATGAATGTTTTTTTGTAAGTTGCACTATAAATGAGGTAATTCTATAATCTGAGGGGGTGCAAGGCACAGAAATGTAAGGACAGCTTGGCAAACAGTCCGGAGGAGTTGCTTGGTTAGGCAATGCACTTAAAACATCAATAATCCTCAAGCTGAAACAGTGTCTCCGCTGTCCTGACTCACAATCCCCCTGACCTCATACTGGCTGGGATTTTACTCTCCTCACATGCAGAAAACTTACTGAAGACCTAGAGGAAGGCATTAAACCCTCTGTGAGATTCCCAGCCGCATGCAAGGCGCTGGGAATTCCACCCACCCAGGCTCGCCCCGCCCCAGGACGGGGCTGGTTGCAGCCGCAGCCGCCCTTTCCCCAGCCCACTCGGTTGCTCTCTGCTCTCCGGGGCCGGGACGAAGGCTCCCTCGGCAGCAGGGCGGCGGCACGGCCACCCGCCTCGACCCCCGAGCCCCGCCTCAGCCCCCTGCCCTCCGCGGGCACATCCCCAGCGGCCACCCCTCGCCTGCCGAGGGGCCGCGGCCGCTCTACCGGGGCCGCCGGGGCGGCTGCAGGCCGCGGCCAGAAGCGGGGCGAGGCAGGGCCGAGGCCGAGCCCCTCAGAGGCCGCGCGGGCGCGGCGCTACCTGAGCTGCCGGTCGTATCGCTGCTCCTTCAGGCTGGCCCGGCCCGGCTGCGCCATGGCGGCCCGATCCCGCGATGCGCAGGCGCGGCCGGGCGGCGGGAGGCGGCCCGCGGAGGCGGTGACGGGGCGGGCGTGAGGGGAGGCCTCGGCGGGGCGACCGGGGGCGGCCCTGCGCCTCATGGCGGGCCGGCGTCGAAGCCCGCAGGCGAAAACGCTGCGGTGGGCACGGGGGGTCTGCCTCGTCCGGCCGGGGGCTCAAGAGAGGCGCCCTCCGCTGCTCAACTGAAGAGAAAATGTGTTCTGACAGAAAGAGCCGGAGTCAGCTGTGTCCGTGTGCTTCTGTCACGGAAGTCTTTCCGTATAGGATCAGTGCAGATCACACCAAAAAGACAAAACGTTTGCATCTTTAAGCGTTTCAACCAACACTTGTCAGGAAATTCCAACAAGAGAGGCCCCCAAACGTGTGCACTGTTCCAGTATCAGTTAGAAGCTGTTAACGTTACACTTTTATCCTGCTGCTCTTTAGTACATTTAGTACTATTTATCCACTGGAACAAAATACACAGCAGTGCAATTACAACCTAGGGTTATATACCTTGCCAATGACATTATGATGCACTCCAGTGTTTCCTCTTCTTCTTCCCATGTACAGCACCTCCTCTAAAGTTCACTTCTCAGGCTTTGTGTTTGCTGTGTTGCAGTAAATCCTTCCTTCTGTTGAAGTGCCAGTGACTGTTAGAATATTTAGTAGGGCTCGTTCTGTTCTTGCTAACTGCTACAATCATATGGTTTCAAATGGTCAAGCCATAAATTAGATGAATTATTCTTTCAGACTCAATTCAAAAATGTAGTCCCTTGTTTGTTCTGGAGTTCTGCCATAAAGCTGCTTTAAAAGTCAGGGATGAGTCCCAACAAAAAATGACAGGTGAAGGCTGGGAAACTCCTAGGGGCCAGGTACCCAGCTCCTCTTTTTTCTGTACCACTTTGCCTGTCATTCCAAAGGGAAACCTTCTTTCCTCTTGGCTCTCTTTTAACTCTTCCATGTTTTAGTCAAGCTCTTACATTTGCAAATAAACATTTGAGAATATAAAATTTGAAATGTATATATTGTCAATCAAAAAATCAAAAACTGTAGGCAGTCACTTTTTTTTTTTTTAAATAAAGTACTAAAAAGTGAAAAAAATCTGGAATTAGTCTGTTTTTTGATTTTTGATGTTGCACTACCCACTCCAGTTTATACTTACATTTAAAGTATTTTTGTGCAGTTTTTGGATTCATTATAAATGACTAATTCTCACATACAGAACAGATATCACCATAGTATAACTCCAATTTGGAAACTGGCAGCATTAGTAATAGCAATGTAAGAAGAAAGAGGAGCTGTCTGGATAAACTAGATACCCTCAAGAACCTGAGGTGTAGGCAAGCCTGGGGGTGATGAATGTTTTAACACTTCATCTGCTTCTGTCTTCTGTACTCCAAAGGCTCTAGGGTTAGCAGCTTGTGTCCAAACTGATTGTATTTCTGGCTTATTTTGTTAATAGCCAACGGCACATCTGACACATTCATATGTATTAAATAGAGTAGGCACACAGCAAGATGTTCAAATGTGTGTTGCTCTCATTGGAGGTAGCCAATGTCAACAGACATCAGGATTACAGAATGATCTGGTATCTGTCTATGCAGCAGTGTTGCTCTAGCTTTAAGGAGAACCTAATTTTTGCCTCAAAAAGAAAAATCAATGGGGGAGGATATTAGATACCGTGTGTATAAATAACTATGTATTTGATATTGTTATAATTCATAGGTAAATTTTTATTCAGGAAGGTTTTATCTTTCAGGCACTGTCACTCCTCTTTTTCACCCTTCTTAAATCCAACTATTAAAATTTCCATTATGTGGAGTCCACTTCCTGTCATGCTGCCAGGAAGAACATGCTATTCTTGTCATTCCCCCTTTGAAATACACATATTTAGCCATCTATGTGGTTTTGAATGTAAGGAGATGAAGGGGAAGTGTTGAATGGTATCAAACACACGTAGACATTTGGCCACTTCATTGGCACTGTGCCATGAGAGCAAGGTCTGAGCCACAGTTTTTAAGCTTCTCTTGAAAACAGTCACTGGGCATTCTCTGTCTCGGATGCAATTTTCCCCAAATTTCTATGCTTTGTTAAGATGCAAAATTAATCTTCCATTTCCTTTCATTGGAAAGTTGTTTTTTTGTTTGTTTCTTCATTTTTTTCCCATCATCTAGGACAGCTTTCCAGACTATTTGCATCTGACTGACCCTGCCCATGTCTGGTCACCGTGTTTGCCTACAGACACACCACAGAGCCACACCAGAATAAGGGGAAGCACCCCCACCTCCTTACACCCAACCTGTCCTACAGAGCTGCAGTGTTTTAACCCAGTGCCACTGCAGCAGCACCTGCCTGTGTGAATTTAGGTACACGGACTCACCGGCAGGATCAGGACCTGGTGTGAGTGTCAGGTCTGCTCAGCAACCTCAGCAGATCACGCTAGACAGAAGTAAATTGAGAAGTGGATCTGAGTAAGCCATTGTATAACTGCTCTGTGGACACCTTTACAGCAGGTTACATCCCTTGTTGAGTGATTTAGCTTGAATCAATAAATCTCAAAGGCTTTAAAGCTGACTCTCGTGGAAAGGTCCTGAAAAAGGAAATGAATTCTTACAAGGCTGTACAACAATAGAAAAGTTACTTAAAATGCTTTCATTGATTTTTTTTTCTTCCATTTGCTTGATTGCATAATAGAAGGATCTTTATCTCCGCATGCTACCGCCTTTAAGAAAATCAATATGTTTTACAAAACGTAGCATTTACAGATGGTGTTCCCTTAGAGCTAATAAAATTACTGCCAGGGAGACATGTTTCTTGCCACAAAGATGTCCTAAGAGCTTTTAAAATGCAGAAATGCAGACTTGGTATCTCATTTTAGCTTCTCCATGGGTTTAGCTGGATGCAGGCAACAACTGGTTTATAGGACATCACTGAAGCTTCACAGACAGGCTCCTATTTCTAGAGTCTGCCATGTTCTGTTCCCTAACGTAAGTCTGCTGTTATTTTTGCCTTTAAAAAAGTTTCCTTGGAGTTAACAAGAAAAAAAATCATATTGGTGATTTATCTCTAATTGGTGTGATCCTACCATGTTTAAAGGTAGCACAAATCACTTTTATTTTCTAAGAAGAGATTGCTCTCCATCTCATCTAAGCACTGCTTCTTAAGTTTTAGTTACAAACCAGCTGGTAATATCAGTCTTTCTTGCAGCTAGAGAGAATGAGAAACGAGAGGCAGTAACCAGGTGTTTCTCCATGCAGAACACACAAGAGAGACGGGCAGTTCCCATTACAGTCTGCACGTTGCTGTGCCCTGGTGCTCAGAGCAGGTTGTGACTATTGCTTCCCTGTGCAGAATGAGAAAATACTACTACTTTTCCCTAAATTTGATTTTCATGTGCAAAAATTTAGCTAGTTGTCACCTGGACAATCTTGTTTCCTCTCTAGGTCCTGAGACTCCAGTTACTTAAATTTTAAGCTTCCCTTTTCCTATACTGTGTTAGCAAAAAGAGTGAGCAGGGCAGGGCAGGGCAGAGCCCAGCAGCAGCAAACTTCAGAGCAGCAGGAACTCGGATGCTTTCCCCGTCCTGCAGGAGCTGCTTTGGTTGCTCTGTATCTTTAAGGGGCTGACCCTATCCCACGGTGAGCCATTATAAAGGCAGGTAAGCAGCAATGCTCCGATCAAAGAGCTGAGAGCAAAGCAGGGTGCAGCTGCCCTATAATGACTGGCCACCACAGTTGGGGATATGGGCAGGATGACGGTAGGTTATAGCGTTTCCATGCTGCATCTCTCTGTCTTCCCCCATTCATTTTCTTTCTAGAACTGTTGCCTGAGCCCTGCAGAGCTGCCTGCATTTTTATGTCCGTAAGAATCAAGTAGATACAGCAGCTAATTAATTACTTTATTGATAAAAAGCACACAGAAAGTGTTGCCAAAAGATGCATCAACTTATACCTGATGCCTTTTGTTGTTGTAATAATCGCTCCTAAATTAAGAGACTCAATACTGAGTGTTTTTTTTTTTTTGCTCAGGCTGCATATATTACAGATAAGTCCCTTTCCAAAAAGCTGCTATGAAAACGAACTATTTGTCTCTCCAAAAACAATTCTTTTAAGTAAAGCAGATTTATTAGAGCAGTAATAGTTTTTCTGGTCCTGTGCAGCTGCTGAAATGTGATATCTTGACTTACAAAGAAATGAATAAAAAGAGGTGTATGTTATATATTTCTGGAACATAAATAAATTGTACAGATCAGTATTAGAGACCTCTTACTGAACAAATCGTGCTTTCTGATTTGACAGTCTTTAATTTAGCTATCTTCCTTCACTTCCCACCTCCGAGACTGTGTCAGTGAGAGGATGTGTGAAACTACTGAAGGATCCCTACAACAATGTTTTATACCACCTGTACCCTTTGTAGAGAACGATGGATGAATGACTGATCTTGTCCAATAAGACAGCCTTTTACATAACCTTCAGGAGCCTGTCTCTTCCTCTTTTGAGAGCAGTTATTTAACAGGTGCTGTCAATACAAAAGCAGCTTCACCTGACTGATAAGTGAAGCTGTTATTGCTGCTAGATGGTATTTGCACATCTAGGTAATATTAATAGAGCTATGTATGCTAACACAAAGCTTGGAAGAGACAAATGATACTGCTTAATCTTGTGTAACAGCATTTAAACTCCAAATCTGCTTTACAGCCAGACCAAGAAAATACACTATTTTGTAAGATTAAATCTTCAGAAAATGCTAAAGATAAGAGGATAATGTGCTTTAAAAATAATAGTAATACTATGTAAAACTGTGAGAATGCTACCACTAAAAATGTGCTACTTAGGATCCTTAAAGTGAAATTGTTACTGTTTAGATTTCTGACCATGAACAGTAGAAGAATTGAATTGCTTCTTGTACTACCAAAGTAGAAAAATAAGTGGTAAGAATAAGGAATTCTGATACGTAAGGCTTTATTATCTCAAATGGCATGACTGTTCCAGATCTGCCAGTAGAGAGCAATGTTATTAAGTAGGTGTTTAACCCTACTGTACTGGCTTCAGGAAGTCTAGAAATGTTAATTATCGCACTGAAAAATATTTCTTTCAGGACAGAAAGATACCATAATGGGCATGAGTGAGGAATGAAACTGCCTCAAAGGTTTACTGCAGCCCTAAAATGGTTTTAAAAATAACTGCATAGTCAGTAGCTAAGAGATTGAGTCATCTGCATCTCATTTGAATGAGTGTAGCTTTTACATTATATTTCCTAGGAAGAACTAAACGCTGTTTTTTTGAGGGAGTGTGTGCGCATATAAGTGTGCTTATACCTGCACATCTAGTCCTTGGAAGGACTTCAGATACCTTTAAGATATAACTATCAACTCCCCAGAAAACTAGTGGCACAAGTAAATGGAGATGCAGCAGTCTATTGATGCGCTGTGGCTTCCCCAGTATGTTTTGTACATAATACTTCAGTCCCTCATCTAGTTGCACTGTGCTAATAAAAACACAAAGCTTGGAATATAAAATGAACTTGTCAGATGGCAAGTGTTCAAGTCACTCGTACTAAGTGAGTCTTACATCAAGCCTCATGAAGTCCTGTAACATTTTTGAGCATTGCAGAAAGAAAATAATGGTGCTCTCCTTTTTTTGGTTTTGAAGGGCCTTCTGAGTGGCACAGATCTTATCCTATTGCCCGAGGGAACCGTCAGTCACCTATTGATATAATTTCTGCAAAAGCAGTCTATGACCCGAATCTGATGCCGCTTATTGTCTCCTATGAATCCTGCACGTCTCTCAACATCTCCAACAATGGCCACTCAGTTATGGTTGAGTTTGAAGATACTGATGACAAGACAGGTGAGGCTACAACATGGCCAACTACATTGGCATAACATCTTGTGTCTTAGGGAAACAATTAAGTATATCTTGGATAGTGTATTTTATGCAACATATAAACTCAGTTCAGAACAAGGTATGCAACCAGTGCCCTTTGAATTTTGTGTACGAATAAACCTAAGCCTTATGTTTCTTGCCTTCACTTCAGTCTCTCAAGCAATATTTCATATCACGCAGCTGAATAGTTTCTGCATTAGGAGAAGCACTTTTATTAAGAAACTCAGAAGCCTGCTTGTAGTGGTTCCTTTTCAATGGGGATTGTCAGTTTTCTGGAGAGCCAGCATGCGGAGTAGGCATGAACACTTCTCAATGCCCTGCTTGTCTGATCACCTAAATCAGAGGTACTAGCTTTGGCTGGCCCACCCCCCAGTTTTGCATCCACAGGGACAGAGAAGGGAAGAGGATTATCAGAGACCAGGTCATACAGAGTAGTCATCATAACTGTAGCACACTAGACCTATTTTTATATTGACCAGTCACTGCTATCTTGCATTTTATTCTTTCCTCATGGCAGTACAGCTTCTTCAGAAATGATCAAGTCTTGAGCTCATTTTGAATTGGTAGGAACTGGTGGATGTTGCACTTACATGCAATTACTTGGCTGAAAACTTAAATGCTTTATATGATTACTTCTATTAATTCTACTTCTATGGTAGATCTTGTTTTTACAATGCGGGGGGGGGGGGGGGGGGAGGTCAGGAAGGAAGGATGGTGGTAAATACAGCATCAAAATAGAGATAAAGTAGCTGATAAATGGAGAAGAGTGCATTTAAAAATACTCTGATTTTAAGCCTGACTATTGATTTCATCTTTCATTTGGTTGTGTTCATTGATCTCAGTTAAATAGGATATCCTAGGTACTCAAAACCAGTTACTTTATCTGAAGTGGTTTGTCTCTCTTGGTAACTCTTTGGAATAGGGCCTGGGTGTTAAAATTCCTGCCACTTGATTCTTGATTTCTGCATTTCAGATGAAACTAAAGAACTGCCCAAATTATTGGTCAGGTTTTCAGGTATTTCTAAATGTTAAAGTTCATTTTCTAAAACTTACTGCATAGAAATCCAATAAGCATGTAATCCTGAAAATAACTTGTAAATTGTACCTCGAAATATTACTTTAGCTTGCTAATTAGTTTCATGCAATTCAAAGCTGAACTCTATCAATGCAACAGTGCACTTTATCCAGTTCGACAAGTTTAGGACGATTATGCATCACTCTGCAGAGAAACTCAGAGCTCGTGCAGGAATGAAGGCACCTGCACTTTCTATGCTATGCATGTGTGATGTTTCAATAACATTTAGAAGGAACAAGATTGCTAGGAGCATAAACATGGTTTTGAGGGTTTGAGTTGTGTTGAAATAGATCTAGTGACTCACAGCTCTGCATAAATGATACAACAGAATTCTGACTAATCCATCATAGCTAGATTTCTTAAATTATTGGGACAGGTGATGCATTCTCTTAAGTTCAGCAAAGCATACTAGAAAATACTTAATATTAATTAATACTAAGAATATTTTGGCAAGGCTAGTGTCCTGCATGAAGTCTAGAGCTATGTACCTGTGAGGGCATGCACAATGCTACAACTTTAAGTTTTTGAATAAAAATGTTACAGATTGCACTGAGAGTAAGTGCCTTATGATTTCTAGATGGACTTCAATTGCACTTATTGCAAGACTTTGATCAGGCTTTTATGTCTGCTGAGTAAAACTTAATTGGTTTAGTGCCATATAAATGTACAAGAGAACTATAGATGGAGTTGTTAGAGTATCTTCTGTAGTTAGTCTTAAACATTCATCTGTTCTTAAGTGTTATTTCTAAATGATGTATAAAGTTTCTCTGTATCCCTTTCCCATCTTTATGAGGTCATTTGAGATTCTGAATGGTGTTGTCTAAAGTACAAGCTATTACATTACCTGTTTTATGGGATCAGGTATTTAAAGGAAGCAGAACATAGAGATCCTCCACTGGAAAGAAGTCTTATAGAGGAAATACTTAGCTGATTTCTCTACCTGATGCTCAAGGTATTTACCTTTTGCACAGAATCCCAAGTAGTGTTGTCAAAAATGTTTTACGTGTTCAACTTAGGTTTTGTGTTAAACTGGAAAGGCCTAGCCATAACAAACCTACTACATTTTCATATGTTAAATGTTTTCTTTCCAGGAAAAAAGTTAAAGAATCCTGCATAAGTAGCTACTTGATACTTTCCAAATTTATTTTTTACTTGAGTTTGGGTGTTTTCCAGTAACAAATCTAACCCTTAACTATCTGCATGCGGTGTCTTTTTTATACTGCAAATGGAGATGTATAGGATTAGAAAATAACAGCCAACAGCTGTTAGGTTTTACTACCAGGGAGCCAAAAAGTGAGAATGCTTTACTCTTATTTCCTTCTACCTAGTGATCAGCGGTGGTCCCTTTGAAAATCCCTTTCGGCTAAAGCAGTTCCACTTCCACTGGGGGGCAAAGCACAGCCAGGGATCAGAGCATACAATTGATGGCAAACCTTTCCCCTGTGAGGTAACTGTTTTTACAGATGAGATTAATTCATGCAAATGCTGTTGGCAAACATCTGTAGTGGTGTCTGTATGTTTCTTAGGATTCTAATGGTTCTGTGTGACTAAGTCATATGGGCTTTAATGAGAATTTTATTTTTTACATGAGTTTCTGATCTATTGTTCATCTGTTAATTGCCCTGTATTTGGAGAGCACGCCTCCATGCAGTGCAGCCCTTTCTCCAAGATTCTCTGCCCATGGTCAACAGCGCACAGTTGGCTCCACAGCTCAGCTGTTTTGCTCACACAGCACTACTTGCACCTCTAAAAGCCCTCTATGTGGTTTAGCACACTGCATGTGATCAATTCCATCCTTTCACTGGTGCAGACGGGAAGGATGTACTGGCCAGTATGATGTTGAGAAGCAGCATCTAGCTCTGCTACCTGCATGGACAAACTAGACTACAGCAAAAGATCACAACCTATGAAATGACGCTGCTGCTGCCACCTATAAAGCTTAGAAATGGCTTCATTTTGAGGCTCCTGAGCACTTTCTGCAAAGCAGGGTCAAGGCTCAGGTATTTCCACAACAGTCTCTTGCAAATCCTGCAGCAGGGTAACATCCTGGAGTCCCCCAGTGAGCAATGAGGCACAGTGTTTCATGGGATAAAGGCCCATATCAGCAAAGTTAAGCCACAGAATCATCTGTTAATACCTGAGTTGCTTCTAATTAAGGATAACAGAGATTTAATTTAGTGTCTGTCCATGCTTATGTCTAGATCCAGAAGACTGAACTTGCTCATATTCCCAAAGATGTCTTTGGAGTCTATACTCCATTATGAGCAAGCATTACTGCCCGTTAAGTATGAGTCAATCTATGTTCCACCTATGTTGACAGCTTCTAAAACTGATTTGTTTAATTCTACTTTGTTGCTGCCTTTAAAGCTCCACTTAGTTCACTGGAATGCCAGAAAATATGCAACATTTGGAGAAGCAGCAGCAGCTCCAGATGGCTTGGCAGTAGTTGGTGTTTTCTTGGAGGTAAGAATTACAAAAATAGCATGTTTACATGATGAAAAGCATTATGCTGTCAAATGTTTGAGAACCAAGCTATGTATTTAAGAGGTGCTCAGGGAAAACAGATGACTTACTGGAAGCAGTAACTCATAGCAAATTGCTGTTAAACCTTCCTTAGTAGGAATGCTGAGATTGAGATAAGAAAGCTATGCTACCTATTCAAAGCGTAATTATAGTCATTCTTATTTAACCTGTCTATTTCATTACTATTTTAGATTGGAAAAGAACACGCCAATATGAACAGGCTCACTGATGCTTTGTACATGGTAAAATTTAAAGTAAGTTTAAGATATTTAATTTTTCTTATTTCTGGGACATCCCCTGGGGAAAAAGTTACACATCTTTGAGACAATGAAAAACGCAAAATCAACCACCACAAATCCTTTCATTAGAGTACCACTGCAGTCTTATTCTTCCTGTCCAATCCCTCTGTTCTGACTCTCCATACTTCAGTGTATTTGCCTACTGTTAGCAGGTGCCTCCCTAGGCTATGCTGACCTCACTGGTCATTCAGAGGTTTTGCTTTTCCTGAGTTAGCTAAAACAAAAGCTCTGTGACCCTTCAGGCTCAGCAAAATGAATCATCAAGCCCAGCTTGAACAACTTGAAGCTGATGGTCCAAATTATTTCTGCTGCAAAGCTCTGAGGGGATAACTTTCATGGGGTCCTAAGCTAGTTCATTGTCAGTAGCATGTGAAGGTTATCTTTTATCAGATGTGTCCAAGATCTTTGAAGCTTGCTGAAGGAAGACTAATTAGACCATCACAAATATTCTTTTTAGATTTATACAGGCTTAATGCACTCTGTAAGGTGCCTAAGTTCTAATATTAAAAAGCACTACCTAATACTTGAGTTGGCATTTTTCTTGTTCCTTTGTATATGCTTGTGAAAGCTGGGGGGGGGGGGGAGCAATTCAACAGTTGTATGTAGGTTGTAGATACATTAAGTGATATTTAGATTTCAATAAGATTCCCTGAACATACAGGTAAGTGTCATTCCTCAGTTGCAGTGATAGGTCTGCGGGTTTGTCACCAGGGATAAGCTGCTCAGTCTGTTCCTTATGAGCAGCTTTAGAGACTTCTGGGCAGTGCTTTGTGAGTGACTCCATACCTCTGATACTTGTGAATAGAACTTCAGGCTGAAAAAAATCTTGCCCTGCAGTGTGGCAGTCAAGGCAATTGCTACCTTAGGCACAGCACCTCCTTCTACTAATCTTTCAGTTGATCCAGCTTGCTCTACTTTTAGACTTAGATGCTTGTTTTTTAAAGCTGATACTTGTCGCAGCAGGCAATGATTGTTTTAGAACAAGTTTTTCCCATTTTTTACTGAAGCAGATGGATAGTGTAGAAAATAGCCAGTAACAGGACAAGGAAATTCTTCATGATATTTTCTGTAGTTCACTGAACATTAACATAGGAAGTGTATTTTGTCTCTATTTTTGGACCTTTTATCAGAAGATCTGAACTTTGGTAGAGGCCATGCAGCAGGAATATACTTCCTGCACTATTTTTAGACGTTTGTCACAAAGGGATGAACTTTGGTAAAGGCCATGGGGTAAAAATGCCAAGTCCAATCAGCCAACACCAGAGGTCACAGTTGATATGTAATAGTATGTAATATTTTTCCTGATTCTTTCTTCATGCTACCTTTTTAGATAACTAGTTATGAGGCAGCCAAACTATTATAGACTCTTCTTCTCCTGCTCTCCATTCTTTAGTATTGCTCTACTGTTTTGTTTGTTTCATAAAGACTTCCTAATTTGCACTTAAAAGTAAAAAGAAATATCAAATACCCATTGTCTTCCAGGGGACAAAAGCTCAATTTAGAAGCTTCAACCCCAAATGTCTCCTGCCTTTGCGTCTAGATTACTGGACGTACCTTGGATCTTTGACAACACCACCACTTAATGAAAGTGTAACGTGGATAGTGCTGAAAGAACCCATCAGTATTTCTGAGAAACAGGTAAACTTCTAATACTCTCCCAGATATTTTAAGATTTGACACTGGATACACAAGCAATGGCTGTTTTGCTTTGCAGCAGGGCCAATTGAAAATAGCATTAGCCTGTGAATAATAATCCTGTCCAATAATCAGGGCTTGTATTTTTTTTCTATTAATACTACCTAGGATATTTGCTTAAACCTATGCTATCAACAGACCTCAATGAATGCTTTCGTTTGATCCTTTTTCAAGAACATTAATATCAATTGCCTTTTTAAGCTTTAAATTATTTCACATGAATTTACAGCTGGAGAAATTCCGCACGCTCCTCTTCACCAGTGAGGAAGACCAGAGGATTCAAATGGTGAATAATTTTCGCCCCCCTCAGCCACTGAAGGGGAGAGTAGTTCGAGCTTCCTTCAATGCCTGAAGAAAACTGACAATGGCCCTGCAATATCCAAGAGCTTCCACATGAAAGACAATCTTTTTTTTAAAACACTCCTCAAGTGTGCAAGATAGCCATTTCCCTGAACACGCCATACTTGGAGGGGGACAACAACTTTCTGATTTTATAGTTGATTTAAATATTTAAAATCTCACTCTAACTTAATCTTTCATCTTTTTAACTGGAACTCTTCTTGGTATAAGGGATAGTGAAGTAATTGGGAATGCTGTCCAGGACTCGAAACTAAGAATCAATATAAGACACTGTTGCACTATTAGTGCTGATGCACACACCAGATTGTTTGATTTAATGCAAGATGAAACAATAGTCAATAAATTTGTATCAACTGGACTTAAATTTTTCATAGTTTGAGCTCCCTTTGAAAGATTTTCACTATGTTTTAGCTGCCTGACCAAGTGCACAAGTAGTACAGAAGTTGTTCTTCATTCACCTCAAGTAGGCACTGATGGGAACACCACTACTTGAAAATATATACATTTTTCAAGTTATTGTTCTAAGATGCAAATGCTGAGTTTAAAAACAGACCATATTATTGCACACTATTGTTAGACATCAATTCTTTTAGCCCGTACAGAATACATAATTAGTGGCCTCGTTAGTTCTGTTGAAAACATCCGTAGAAATTCAGGTATGTAACTTCTGGCTATCTCAATTGTTCAAATTCTACCTCAGGTGATTTGCTTTGCAATATGACCTTCGGTGTCTGCCCTACAGAATGTAGATTGTTTATTTTACTTAAGAACTAATGTGGGTAGACCTTGACTGCACTGAATGTACATTGCTGCACAAATCATCCCCTAGCTATGGCCCTCTTCAGGGATATTCCCTGCAAATGTGAGGCTTCATCAGTCGTGAATACTTTACCTCCTCAAAACAGTGGCTTTAGACAAGTCGTGCTTTAGTGTTGCTGCTACTGCAGCGTAGTGATGAAATTATTCAGACTACTGTGTCTAGTGGTAAATAGTGAGGTTATCTGTAACTATACTCACTCTATTTTCAGTTATTTAATTATGGGCTTCAAATGTTTCATTAAATCTGTATACTTCAGACATGATTTGTTGATTATCTGTTATCATCTTAAACGAAAAAAATGTTCAAAGCTGTATACCTTAAAGGAAAGCAAAGGGGTTAGTGAGGAGAACACCTACTATGGCCTATTTTTTTATTTTCTGAAAAGGGAGAAAGATACTGTGTGTGAAGCACAGTATGAGGAATTGAAGGCCAGAATTCTAGATGCAACTCTTTACAGCTTTTCTGGTATGCCAACCTAAAATATTCTGTTCCTCTGTTTCTTCATATGTAAAACAAGAGTTACACTGTATGACTGACCTACCTCACAGGGATGTTGTGAGGGTTAACTCAGCACTGTTTTATATTTGAGACTCTTACACAGACTATACTAGAGGAAATAATAGAGAAGAAACATAACAAAATGTTTTTAACTATATGAATGTAGCTTTGCTAGTAATGCAAACTGGTATTGCAAAAAATAAATCTATTTATGTATCTTCATTTGTCCATTTAAATAAATGACACTTAAATATGTATCTCATCTATTTTGAACAGGTCTGTATTTTCCTACATATTGCAGTGTTGTTTTTTCCTCAGGCTTCCTTTAACAGAGAAACACCAATACCTTCACCCGATGCATGTGTTTCAGAGTGAGGGATGATCTGATTGCTCACCTCCAGGTATCACAGAAGCCTTGACCATGCAATAGTAGAATAATATGAACACAGATAGCAGTCATCCCTGAAGTTTCAGGCTTTTTTTCAAAGTTCCAGAAAGTCTATCAATTAAAAAAAAAAAAAAATGGTCTGTGCCACAGTTCTTCCCATCTTCTGGGACCAATGCCTTCCATTGCTGTTTATTCTTTTGGCTAAGAATTCTTGACATTTACTACATCTTTAATGACTTTTTTGCCTACTGTCAGAGTTGGATTTTTGTTACTATGAATTTTGAAACTTATTTCCCTCTTATAGTTACTTACTACATGAAACACCTTTTAAAATGTAAAAGGTCTTCCAGAATTCCAGAACAACCTTAGAGATTTGATATCCCTGTTCTATGAGGGCTAAAGTAAAAGCTTCTTAATTGAAATTTAAGTGGTATCACTTACTTCATGCAACTTAAACTATCAAAGTACTACTACATTTCTACATGCTTTAACAGAGTAGGTTACAGATAAATATTTCATTTTTTTTTTTAATTTTAAGCACGTAAGACTTCTCAAGTGTTGAGAGGGTTTGTGTACCAAACCTTGATTCATCTTTTCCCAATTACAACCACTTGGGTCCAATAAAAGAAGCTTACTTATCTCCAGAATGTGTCCATGCTGTGACCTTGAACACAGTACTTAAGCTTCTTTAAGGGTGGTTTACTTGTGAACAGCAGAAGGGTAATATTTAGCTCATAAGGTTATTGTAAAAGCTTAGCTATAGTAAAGAGCTTTAAATGGTGAATCCTACAAGGTGTTCAGTTTCTGGGAGATGTTTACTACACTTTGATTTAGAAACTTTATAGCTTTTCTCAGTTGTTAGATTATAAAGTATCTTATTTTTTACTACAGTGAAACAAGACACATTAATAATACAAAAGCTTTTGTAATAATTTCTTCCTTACAGCAAAATGAAGCAAAAATAATGAAATTATTCCCCACCAAAGACTAAAGATTACTAGTCCACAATGTTTTTGAAGAGGTAAGACTAAATATTTGACTGATAATTCATTTTAATTTAGCGAAGTTTTCCTAGTAACTATGTTCTGTAGTGCAAGGGACCATATTAATTGGTATTTTATATACAAATTCTTAACTTGTTAATATATTGGTTGAAATATGGCTAGTATGAGAGCTTTACAGCAAGAACTCTTTTATTCCTTTTACTGATATTATTTTGCTGTCTATGAGATGAGAAAAATGAAATCCAGAGACTGTGTACTAAGATTTATAATGTGTTGTGAGACCCTCAGAGGATAGTAACTATGACAGTACAAACTGCTATTAGTCCAACTCCTGGCACCACACAGGTCTACCCAAAAATTCAGACCACGTGACTAAGTGTACAGCCAAATGCTTCTACTGTCTAAATGCTCCTAGCTGTATTCTAGTCAGTGCCTCTAGCACACATGTACCCCTTAGAGGCTATTCATTGGGCTGAATAACTGCTATGCACCACTACTTTTCAAGGATTATCAGGAACATAATTTTTTCTGCTTTCTTTTTACCCTCTTGACATACCTTCTTCTAAACTTTATTCAGCAAAGTTGCTCTATCACAGACATTCAAATTCTAGAACGCGTGCTACCGTTGTATATTGCCAGCTCCATTGAAAGAAAGCTACCAGCTGAATTTAACTACTCCAGGGACATTTGATTGGCTTAACTTGCAATATGACCATAGTTGTCATGACTGAAGGAATGCAAGGCCTTACTTTTAGGACAGTGACAAATTGAACACCTGTAAAAGTTAGACTAAAAATGCCATCTAGTGGCTGCCTGTTTCCATTCCTTACCATTTCTTACACTTAAAATGCTTAAAACAATTTTTTAAGGCTCCTTGGTCAAAGTACAACACATGAGAGAAAATGTAACTTTAACAACAAATAATTACGTTTTTTTAACGTATAGGTGATTATAGTTGAAATCCCTGTGCGGGCTTGAAGGATATGCAGTCCTTGAACCCTCGTTATCAGATAAAAAGATCGATCTTACAAAAGAATCATAGTAGATCAGTTACGTCAGTTACAATTTTGTTTCATTGGTAGACTAGAGATATCGTCTGCTTGGTAAACTACACACTCCATTACATTTAACTCTTTGACTTTAATAGTTCCAGTTAAGGTTCAGCTTAGTTTTTTACTACCCTTTACAAACGGGAGGATATTTGGCAACTTCAGTGATATAGGTGATGTGATCTAGCAGCAATTTATTATGATGTTTCATGATGAGTGTAAAGTATGGTATATTGTAAAAATGGTATATTGATGAAAACTGATTTTACCAGAACGATTCCTAATTTGCATGGCTGTAAGGCAGAGAATATTTATGTTTCTGATGTTCTCTGTATAATACTATTTGCATTACCTTTGAATTTTAGCAAAAAAAAATCTTACTGCAGGTTGTGAACAACGTCACAATAATGGAAACCATCATTTCACTTCACATTCATATAGTGAGTTTTCTAAATGTTGGCACTTCAAACTAAGTCTGGAGACTTCCCTGCACTTGTAACTTATCCTCAAGGAATTTAAACTCACATTTGGAGTGGTACAGAACCTTAACTGAACATTTATTTCAGTATAAGAGTGATTTTCAGTTTAACTTCAACCAGTTTGTAAGTAAGTAAATGAAAATGTGGAATAAAATGTGGGTAAATGTGGGTAAAAATTATATATGTGGAGTTAAGATCCAGCAAATTAAGTCACAGCAAATACATATGCCTTTGTACTAATCCAATCACTTTAACTTAAATTGGATCATCAGTTTAAACTGCAACTTCGTGTATATGCACACTGCTTAGTCTCTGTTGTAACAGCAGGGGTTAAGTGAAGTTGGAGAGTTGGAATGACATTTTTCCTACAGTTGTTCATTGTGTTTACCTCTGTTCATTGACATTTCTTGCAGCTTGTTTGCTTTCCTAGCATTTCAGTATTTATTTTAGATTACATAAGAAGATCAACGACTGGATTTTATTTGCAACCAAACTAGGAGGAAAATGCAATTGCTTTAACAGACCTTGAGGAAACTTATTCTTCCCAGTCTCATTCATAATTTTTTGCTTGTAAGAGACCTCTCCATCTAAAGTGCTAATTTACCTCTTGTGAAAGTTCAAAATAGCATATACATGTACAGTAAATGAAATGTTTGTCACTATTCACAAAACACATATAGCAAGTAGCTGGCATCTTTAAAGGCTGTGAGCAGTAACAAATCCAACTGTTTTGTATTTGTTTCCTTTCGAAAAGCCAGTTAGGTATACTGGTGTGCTGCCTATGAAAAGGCAAGTTCTGACTACCTGTATTCTCCCAGCCAGTCCAGGTATCTATGGCTGTTTTCTAATTCAAGCACTAGACTAAGCCTTTCTCCTCGTTTCAAGAAAACTTCAAGTAGACTTCTACCTCTTTGGATTCAAATTGTGTTTGTTACTAGTCTGCTTTCCAGAAAAGTATTAATTATTTGTTAGAAATATTAATCTGATGTTTAACTTGTTTTCCTAGGAAAACCACACTTATTTGGTTGATATGATTGATTGATATGATTCCATCTTCATGTGTCCCCATAACAAGCTATGTTTACAAAACACCGGGAGTCCCACACTTTTCATGAATTTCAGGGGGTTAGTAGAAATTCATATATATTAGCACCTGCTGTGAAGGCAGTGATAATTAACAGACGTCTGTTTGTAGTTCCTGGAACTGGAAAATAGATATATTGTACCAAACTAGCCACAGCCAGTTAGTTGCCCAAACAAACAAGCGGAAGAAGGAAAAGGAATTTTCCATAGGAACAAAGGAAAACCCAAGTAGTGCAGTATCAGTGTAAGGCAAGTCAGATAGAAAGCTTTAAGTTTCACTAGCCAGTTACAGAATTAGACTCCTTTGATAAAAGGACATGAAAAACTATGAACAGCTGTACTTCCACCTCCTAGATACATTCCGGGCTTGTTTCTTGACTTCAGCTAAAAGCCTTATTATGCCAAACTATCAGAGCTATACCAAGTATACTTTCATATGTCATTTCTGAGTGATGCATATGAACAGCCTTTTTTTCTTCCTAAGATTTCTGGTTCTTCCACACAGCGTTGGATTTTCAGAGAGAAAGGGTGATACAGTATGTTGTGGAAACATTATCTGAACTCTAGCCAACTCGAGTTCTCTCCACAACTTAGATCTTCTGAGAGTTGAGATGGTTGCTGCTCTTTTCAAAGCAGAACACTGAGTGCCAAAACCCTCAAGCAAAGTTTAAGATTGGTTGAAAACTACCTCCCACCCTCTCCCAAGATGTCATTTTTTTTATCAGTTTTGCAGACATCTGCCTGTAGTTCTGTGTGTGAAAATCCTTGTTGTGCAAATATTCTCTTTTACCCCTGATTAATTCAGGTAGCTTTATATTAACTTACTTGAGCTACTGCAGGTATATATGATTGTGTATTAAGACTGCTGAAATATGTCTGCTTTACAAATGCTGCACAAAACCATTTACTTTTGTCACTTTAAAAGGTTTTGGGAAACGATGAAGTAGAACAAATATAACTGCTTCTCTGATGGTGCCAGCATCTTCATCCAGTATATTATATCATGCTTGGCTAAGAAACTTAACATAGCTAGGATTATGAATAGTAATAGTCATTTTTGCCCTAACATTAGTTTCATTTTAAAGTATACAGTGATCTTAAGGAATAAAAGATTACAAAACAGTAAACCAAACCCTATTTCAAGTCCTTAGATACAATGGAAGGCATGCAATATAAGCAGAAATAAGATAATTTATTAATATTTTGATGTCTCCTGAAGAGCTTACCAAAATACATTACCCCTTCCATAAGTCTTAGAA